CTTGGAATATGACCCGGATTTTCCCAGTCACAAGGCCAATCACCGCCAATGGCTACAGGGTGAAGGCAGATATCGAGAGGTGGTCCGCATCGAGGATTCGAACATCACCAAAAAGATCCACCAGACGTACCGGTTACAATACTTGAAGGATGTCGTACTTGCTCGCATCTTGGATGATAACACCTTCTCGGTGCTGAACTCTCTCATTTTCTTCAACCAGGTGGATATAGTCCAACATCTGCAGGGTAACTCGTCTTTCCTAGGCGAACTGTTTAACATCTTCAAATCCGGCCAAGACTTGACGAGGAAGAAGGAGGCGGTCCTTTTCATTCAACAATGTTTGGCCATTGCAAAGAATCTTCAACCGCCCGCTCGACAGACGCTTTACAACAACTTCATCGCCCACGGTCTGCTCCAGGTCATCCATTTCGGTCTCAGGAGTATTGACGTTGCAGTTCGTGTTGGCGCTACGGACATTCTCGTATCAATGATCGATCATGACCCACAAATGATCCGGCAGATGATATATCGTCAAATACACGAAAAACAACCTCAGTTGACCGACACACTTATCGACCTCTTACTAGTCGAGACCGACCTGGGTGTCAAATCACAAATCTCGGATACCCTGAAAGTGCTCCTTGATCAGGGTCCCCCGATGCAGGCCGAAGCGTTTGCGAAAGCTAACGGGGAGTATGCAGCCCGAGCTAGATTAGCCCAAGCCCCTGACCCCCAGCAGGATCATTTCTTAGGCCTCTTCTACGAGAAATCAGCTGGCAAACTTTTCCAGCCTCTCATGAATTTACAAGACCGGACTGATATGGAATTCGCTCATGTGGAAGCATCCGCTTTCACCTATCTAGTTGAGATTCTCTGCTTCTTCGTTCGACAGCACCAACATCGCAGCAAATTCTTCGTTATGAATAACGATATCGTGCTACGCATTAGTCAACTACTACAGTCACCAGAAAAGTTTCTGAAACTCGGTTAGTCAGCTTGTCTTTACTTTTACGACAATATATTAATTGTGTACAGTTGCTGTCCGCTTTCTTCGCCACCTTGTTGGTTCACAGGATGAGTTTTATATCAAGCATCTGGCGGAGAAAAGAGTCATCGAACCGGTCCTCGATCTCCTCATCAAGACGATGCCACGCGATAACCTCATTAGCTCTGCATGCTTGGAGCTCTTTGAGCATATCAAGAAAGAAAACATCAAAGAACTTGTCAAACACATGGTGGAAAATTATCGAGAGAAGCTACAGAGCCTATCGTATATGGAGCTTTTTAGGACGTTGATCCTCCGGTATGATCAGACCTCCGGGTTTACGACCAATATGGATTACTTCCTAGAGTCCGAGGAAGACGGCTCTCGTGATCGCAGACGTAATCGGCCACCTCCACAGAGGAACCCTATGGAACACCTGACAATGGACGACGCCCAAGAAGAGTACTGGAATACTTCAGATGACGAAGATGACCTGCAAGTAAGGCCTAGCGACCGGACGTTGCCCGCCAATGGTGAATCGCCAAGTACCAAACTCTTGGTTGATTATGCCTCGGACGAAGAATTGGACGATAATATCGAAGCGGGTGCCATCGCAGGGGACGAGAACAAGCCAGAGGAGAGGCATCAAAAGGCAGAGGGCCCGATGGTGGCCGTGCCGCCGCCCGAACGAGTGTCAGAGAAGCGTCGCCGTGAAGAGGACGAGGAAGATGATCTCAGTAAGATGATACAGCACAAACGCCGAAACAGTACATCTGGGCCCAATTCTTCAAGTACTTCGCCAAGCCCCCTGCGGAAAAAGAAGGCGGTGGCTGGTGCCCGAGATTCCGGAGGGGCACCGAAGAAGATTGCCATTAGTCTGACATCTACTGCAAAGACAGGCGACGACTGAACCGGCTGCAGTAATTTTCAGGTATCCTAACACGCATGGTATAATGAATAGGGTTCGACAACGACCACATAATGATGGGACACGAGGTCGGCGTTCGGATGAGGCAAGAACCATTCTACTGGCCTTTGTATGGAATAGAGTCCGGGTTCACTAGGAAGCAAGGCAAAGCAGAGCGGCGGTTCTGAGCCAGGGCCATGACTAGAAAAGACGTCATTTGCGAAGCTCCCGACGGACTATTCAGTGCCCAAGACTCCAGGGAGAGTGCGGCAAGCCGTCGTGGATGCAGAGATTGAATGAGACAATTGATGTCCCCTGTACTGTATTAAACGACGCTGGTACTCAAGTTCGTTGGTCTCGAGAAGATTCAACCTACGTAGCAGTTCAGACTGCAGAGTCCGGCCCGTTATTAAATCGAACGTGTAAAAGAAGCTTGCCCGCACTTCGTATCCGTGAGTAATTGGACGGAACTTCGCTCACACCTCAAGGATTGAATTAAATGACCCTATCTCTTTCCTTCTGCCTTGCATGTGACGATATCCATTAATTGTGATTTTTACGTAGTGCAGGAATGCTTGAGATGTCGTGAAAAATGATGCCTATGTATAATCACGTAAATGCAGATCCTGATATCTTGATAAGGTTTGGTCTGGAATCTTCGGGTCGCGGCATCCGGCGCAGTTAGCAAGCCGAGGTTTGTTTCCCTCGATTCGGTACTTTCGGTGCTTTTGGTGGGGTTGACAAGGGACGGATGGACGAAGCTTACTTCGACAGAAGGCTTCCCCGGACGCGGGGGGAGCTATCTATGTACTAATTAGTGAGTCGATCAATGCATTTTATACATTATGCTCCTTTCTCTCTTCTAGAATGTCTTTCTCGTCTGAGACCGTAAGCTGAGCTAAATTGAGGAGTAAATCGGGACCAATAGCCCATCATCATGTCTCGGTCTATAACACTCAAGAAAATCGACGGGAAGCCGGGCAAAGTATACTATCCGTAAGTGGAGAGTTCATCTCTTGATCTGTACCGCCTAGCTCAAGAAATTCAATTCAAAAGAGCGCTTTCTGGTGATGATTTGTTTAATCTCTGATAATAAGGTCTTACAAACACTAACGACCACTCTACGAATCTAGCCTCCAACTCAACCACAACCCCAAACCTGCGCCCGGTCCCGGCGAGCTGCTCATCCGCCTGCAAGCCGCGGCGTTGAACCACAGGGACCACTTCCAGCGGCAGCACCTGTACCCGGGTATCTCCTTCTCTAACCCCATCCTCGCCGATGGCGCCGGCATCGTCGAGTCCTTCGGTCCAGACACTAAGTCTGGGCCGTCGCTCATAGGCAAGCGAGTGATCCTGACGCCGACGCGCGGCTGGGACTCCGACCCAGAGGGGCCGGAAACGCGCCTGACGACTGTCGGCGGCGCGGTCGGCACCACGGCCGGCATGGCGCAGGACTACATCGTCGTGCCAGAAGGCGAGGTCGAGCTGGCGCCCGCGCACCTAAGCGCCGCCGAGGCCGCCGCGCTGCCCGTAGTGGGAGTCACGGCGTGGCGCGCCCTCGTGACAAAGAGCAATAACGCGCTCCCCGGCCGCAACATCCTCATCACCGGCATCGGCGGCGGCGTCGCACTGGCTGCGCTGCAGTTCGCCGTCGCGCTCGGGTGCAACGCGTACGTGACGTCCGGTTCCTCTTCCAAACTCTCACGCGCCAAAACCCTTGGCGCCAAAGGCGGCGTCTCCTACCGCGACGCAGACTGGGACAAGCAACTCCTCGCCCTCCTGCCTCAGTCCCGTCCGTTCCTCGACGCCGTCATCGACGGCGCCGGCGGCGACATCATGGCGCGCGCGGTGCGCCTGCTCAAGTCGGGCGGCGTCGTCTCGAGCTACGGCATGACGGTGTCCCCCAGGATGGACTGGCTGATGACGGCGGTGCTCAAGAACGTCGAGCTGCGCGGCTCGACGATGGGGTCGCGGCGCGAGTTCGCGGACATGGTGGCCTTCGTGCGCGAGCAGGAGATCCGGCCGGTCGTGAGCCGTGTTGCGAGGGGCCTGGATAATTTTGAGGAGATTGAGGAGTTGTTTGCGATTATTCGCGAGGGGAGGCAGTTTGGGAAATTGGTTGTTGAGATTGCGCCGGATGAGAAGGCGAGTGCGAAGTTGTAGATGTCGAGTGTGTGCTATTATCTGGGCGTTGTCGTATGGCTAGATTAATCTGCTCATGTGGTTCCGCGAGATACATGCGCCTAGAAAGGGATGAAAAAGACTTGGTCTTTTTACGTGAAGTAGTGTAATTTCTTAAACTAATAGATAGAAATACATATGGGTTTACGAACGTCGTTCTATTAAGGAAGACGGAATTTTTTGACATCACAAATGTAACGAACTCTTTAAAACATTACTCAGGTTGAAGCTATCAACAAAGAAGTCGAACAAGTCAAATACAACCCTTGGGAACCAAGTAGTAAGCTTGAAACTGTACCATCCACAGAGTAGGAAAGTGTAATATATGGGCAGCAATATTTCTGGTCATTTGTCGTATTGAAAGGGATGTCTGAGTTCATTACGTGTGTGCTTCGCAGGTTCTTCGTAGCCCGCCATACTAGCGAAGTGATGTGCCCCCGACGTATCAAGGTCGGATCTTACAGTGAGAGAGTGCTTTCACTCTCTACAGTATTCCGTAGTAAGCTGCGTAAAATCCGAATAGATGTTAGCATAGGCAGCTCCTCTAAAACTATTATAATTGATTGAAGAGCTAAATAGCTGCGCTTTAGACTAGGACCTCAGTCGACTACATCTGAATATGGAGATAAGGTCTCGTATATAGTGATATAATCTGAAACCAACATTATAGTTAAGGCATTTTTCCTTTAATGAAGAAACCCATAATGAGATGGGAAATAATAAACAGAATATCTTGCGATTAACATACGCTATCATGTATGTCATTCTGCCAACTAGTCTGAAGGGAGTCTTATCATTCTCTACAGCGGGTTTAGTACCTTTGAGAGTATCTATATGTTGTTGTTTTCCCTTTGTAATTAGGCCCTTCTAGACTTCGGGGAAGAGAATAAGTATGGGCTATTCAAAAGATTCAAAATGCAAAAAGTACGACATGTGCAGGATTTGAACCTACGCGGGCGAACCCATGAGATGGCTTAATTCAATTGAATTCAAGTCTCACCCATTAACCACTCTGGCAACATGCCCTAATTCTGGTGTGTACTTTCGGCCCGCATTTGGGACCTAAGACCCAACCTGAAAGGGCGCCAAGGACACCACAGATAACCGCAAAATCACCCCAAACACAAACATAAGAACTCTGATTGTTATATAGCCAGTATATGCAGAAGGTTGACATTATAATATCTCTTACCAAACCAGCTTCGTTTCCTGAAATCAAATTGACCTCATTTATATCTTTTCTAATTTATTCACTTATTCTGCTAGGTTTTGAATTGGTCGAGTTTGGAGGACAACTAGGAAGCATGCGTGGTGCTTTGGCGCCCGATATCCTACCCAGGCGGCTAACGAAGGGGAAACTTGGAAGAACTGAATTATTGACCTTGCTATAAGCGATGTCAGTATTTTGAGCGCGTGAGAATCTATTTCCAACGCATAAGGCAAGACGTGCCCTGTGCTGTTCGGGTCTCATAAAATGAAATCTTACTCAAGGGCGCAAACTACAGACGTCGCGCAACATAGTCAGACATTCAGTCTGCTATCCACGATATCGGCGTGTTCAAGTCTGCTTGAGCTGGGGTACTTTTGGCTCCTAATGCCTTTGGTGCTAATAGATGTACTTGCCTAGATAGGTACTTATTGTGGGTTGAGATGCATGTGAGTCAGGCCAATCTAGCGGCGATCTGGGCGCTAGCGGCGAAGAGGCAACGCGGGGCTTGATAAGATAAATTCGCAAACGCGGGACAGCTTGACTCACCCCACCATCTTTTATACCTGCAAAGCTTAAACCGCAACCGTCCATATCGAGTACACCAAACTAATTGCCCAACTTGGAAATTTTACGAGTTTTCGCGATCGCGCGCATCGCCCAGTCACTCTTCCCATTCCTGCGATAGTCCATTCTCACGAGGCTTCAACCATGGGCTCCGTCAACACCTCCCCGCTCTTGCCCGAGGCGGGGAAGAGGAACATATTGATCACCAGGCACGTTTAACTAACTATTCTTTACATTTTTTTTTCAGTCCAAATTTCAGCATATGCAAATACGATTTTACATTCAGGGGTCTCAATCACTAATCTTTCCCTCCAGTGCTTTACCATAGTTAGTATAACTCGACTTCCGAACGCCGCCACGTTAACTAACATACACACATCTGCAACAATGTTGTCCATCTGGGGAACATCATTGGAAGCGTTCTGGTATGGCCCTCTTCCCGGCCCTTCCTAGGCCCTTGTTATTTGTGCGCATCCGGTGCTAACCTTTCGCGACACTTTTCAGTCCGCCGACTGCTTCGCCCGCTTCTGCAGAGCCCGAGGGTTGAAGACACTATATGTCTGTGGTAGTGATGAGGTATGCATATTACCAACCCCACCATGATCCGACAACCCTCGTCAAGTTGGGAGCGACCATCGCCACTTACACGCGAGCGATCAACAGTACGGTACCGCAACCGAAACCAAAGCCCTCGAGGAAAAGACCACACCCTACGAGCTTTGTAGCAAGTACCACGAGATCCACAAACGCATCTACTCCGATTTCTCTATTTCCTTCGACATTTACGGCCGGACCTCGACCGAGCAGCACACTGCCATCGTCCAAGACATATTTACTAGGTTGTGGAACAACGGCTTCATTGAGGAGCGCTCAAGCATCCAGCCCTATTGCCCGACCCATAAGTCATTCTTGGCCGATCGGTTCGTCGAGGGAATATGTAGTATATGCGGGTAGGCATCATTTTGGCTGCAGAATAGACTGTTTCGAATACTGACATACTACTTATAGCTATAATGACGCAAGGGGTGATCAAGCAAGTACCGACCCTTTCCACAAGAGTAGCCAACGGAGAGGCATTGCGCTCAATGTCACGGCGAGCTATTCTCCAGGAGATCTTCGTTTTCTAACTCTTCATTTGAATAGTGTGACGGGTGTGGCAATCTTCTCGACCCTCTCGAGCCCGTGGCCACAGCCAACGACGTTGTTGGGCAAGAAACGAAGGGCACGGGCTATCTAATAAAGCCTCGTTGTAAGCTCGACGGTACAACACCGGAAGCCAGAAGCACGAACCATCTATACCTCCGCCTAGACCTCCTAGAAAGCGATATAAAGGAATGGTTCAATTCGACAAAGGAGCAGTGGAGTTCGAATTGTGTCGCCATAACGCAGTCATGGCTAGCTAAGGGGCTCGAAAGGCGTTCGATTACACGAGACTTGAAATGGGGCGTACCTAGAAAGTGCCACCCTCCACTTATATATGAGATAAGTTTCACTAACTTGAGTGTGTGAGACAGTTCCCAAAGGTTTGAAGGGGCTATCGGACGAGGCATATGAAAACAAGGTGTTCTACGTTTGGTTTGATGCTTGTGTGAGTCTCGGTCTCGGCTTCCTACCTGTGAGAGGTTCCCTACTGACAATTTGATGATAGATCGGATACCCCTCAATTACAAAAGCCTATACGGACGGTGACGATCTCTCCGGATCCAATTGGGAGAAATGGTGGAAAAATCCAAAGGAGGTTACCCTCTATCAGTTTATGGTGAGTATAGCTAAGTTTCGGTTCCATAATCTATCCATGTCCTTGACTAAAGAAATCTATGCTAACTCTCATCCAGGGGAAGGACAATGTTCCGTGAGTTGATGCTTACGATGGAAAGTGTGCGGCATCCGACATCTAACCAATTTCAGTTTCCATTCAATAGTATTCCCAGCCAGCCAGCTAGGCACTCAGCAAGACTGGACCAAGGTGTCACGATTTTCAACCACGGAGTACTTAAATTACGAAGGCGGTAAATTCAGCAAGTCTCGAAAGTATGAACTTGACGTCACCCTTCTTTCTTTGGTCCAGCAACTTCCAAGCTTTGCAACTCATGCGTACCTCAGAAAAGTTCGCTCCTAGTCGTTTTTAAGGTTAATACTAACTTATCTGTGTAAAGCATCGGCGTCTTCGGCACTGCCGTTAAGGACACCGGTATCGACACTGATGTGTGGCGCTTCTACCTCCTATCCCGACGACCCGAAACAAGTGACGCGGAGTTTCTTTGGCAGTAAGCTCTAACGAGTTAAAAACCCATGATATCGGGAAACAGCTGACATGGCGACTTAGGGACTTCATCGATATAAATAATAATGATCTATTAAAATCGCTAGGAAACCTGTGCCAGCGGGTTATGAAGTTTTGTCACACCAACTTTGACGCTACCATTCCCAACAAGAAGTACACTGATGCGGCACTCGAAAAACACACAGCCGACGTGAATGCCCTCTTGCAGACTTATCTGACGAACATGGAGGCGATCAAGCTTAGGCAGGGGGCGGCCAATGTACTCTCTCTATCGGCGTTGGGAAACCAGCTCTTACAGCACAATAAGCTCAGCAACCAGCTCCTGAACGAAGAGCCCGAGAGATGTGCTTCCGTGATTAACCTCGCTCTCAACCATATGTATGTCACCCGAGATTACCCTGTTCGCTTAGGCCCGTTCGCACTAGAGGTCACTATCTCTCGTTTCTCTCTAGATTGGTGCTTATACTGAGACTTTCTAACTATTTGACAGCCACCTTATGGCCAACCTCCTAAGTCCCTATGCGCCTAATACCGCATCTTCCATATTGACGCAATTGGGATTGCCAAAGGAGAAGCAAAAATTCTCGATACCCGATATCTGGACTGGAAACACGCTGCAGCCCGGAGAAAAGCTGGGTACTCCCACTTTACTGTTCTCTCAGATCCCAGCCAGCAAGGCCGCAGAATGGCAAGAAATGTTTGGCGGAGATGAGTTGAAGAAGCAGAAGGCAGCTGAAGCCGAAAAAGCGGCCGCGAAGAAAGCAGCAAAACAGAAGAAAAAGGATGAGAAGAACGCGAAAAAAGCGGCGGCTGCTGCTGCTAGCGCGCCTCCGGCTGGTAGCGAGCCCCCAGCTGATGGCGCTCCCCCAGCTGAATGATTTCGGACTCGGGATGGCCTCGGAGTTTCGTCTTCAACAGATTCGATACCATAGTATTGATTTCACGGCTTGGTGTAAGGATTTTCTGTGTGCATCGCAATATAGATAGCGATTACAATGATTCACACCAAGTCTAAATCGTGATCTAGCGTGCCCCTTTTAACGCGTAGGCGATGATATGAGGACTGGTTACCATTCGGCCGGGCTTCCTTAGATAGTTGTCATTTGTATTAGACAGCCGAGAATAGCGAGAAGCAGAAAATATCGGTGAATTCATTCGAAGCTACCTAGGATATCACCTTTGATGCGCAAGGATCTTGCATGGCATAGACTAAGTCTAGGAATTATACAACTTAGCGTTACAAAGTCCAGCCAAAAGGGTGAAATCAGAAGGTATTATAGACACTCTAGCGATAATATAATACGTCTCTTAGGCATCAAGGCTATAGGAATGCCGTTTCTAATCGAATACATCTGATATCTATTAGCATGGTTATATACGGGCAATATGGACGTAACATTCTGGGGAACTGACTAGTATACATGCATTCTGAGAAACTGGACAATTATCTACTGAATCATCCGTAACGTCCTTGTTGTATGGCCCTGCTCTGGTCGTCATGAACGCCCTACTTTCTTAACGCCAGGCTAAATTCGCGCTGTAGAACCCGGCGAGTAAACTCCATTTGATCAAGCAACGTCGTCCTAAGCAATGAGATTGACGATAATCTGTAATTCCGTCACTTCTTGTCTGCCTCCCTCGCGGAGGGTGTCGCTAAGCTCTCTGCGTCACTAACTTGAAGGAACTCGCGGCTATTTTCTTCCTTTTCGAGAAACCCCCCTCGATTTAGAGATCTTGTTTCTAGATGACCGAGGCGGGGCCTTCCCACGCCCCCAATATCCTGAACGCACGCGCTTTTGCTTCGCTTCGGGGTTCGATGAGGCTGAGGGACTCTGATCTTCATATTCTGGATCTTGTCGCGAAATCTGAGTTGGGAGTGGCCCAGATATACCCTCGTCTACGGCCCACTGTAAAGACTTCAAGTCGGTAATTTTGGGTATCGCGCGTCTGATATCGTTCCATCTCAT